GGGAGGTTGGAGAACATCCTGGAAAAAGACAGAGGCAAATTACTTCTATACTGTTATTCAAAAAATGGCACAGCCACGTCTATTAAGTCACCAGGAGGTGAGCTCAATTCAAAGGAGACTTTAAAAGGTAAAGACTCCTTATAAAAGGTAGAGGTCAATTTGGCATCAGATTCTCAGATCCTTTGGAAGTTAATTCTGACTAGGCTACACTCAAAGGATCAGATGTGTCTATTGCTTGTAAAAGAAAGAAAATGTCAATCAGTAACACAAACAGGGCTATTTATACTACTGCTGTTTAGTGACATATAAGCAGAAGCAACATTGTCTAGATAAGAGAGAGATGCCAGGAATGGTCAGATATTCTCCACTGAGTTGTGCAAATGCAAGAAAGGGGTCCTAAGATAAAGTTCCAGGTTTGTTGAAAAAATGGGTTTTCAGCCACATTGGTATTTACCTCATTCACATGATCCAATCCTAAGTTTGGAATTCAAGACCTAATTTAACATCCTGGGAACCTCAGTTTTCCTTTAAAAAGTTTTAATGGCTATAAGTACAGCCTTTAAAGCAATGTCTAGGAAATCTCAGAAGCCAAAGAGAAGACCCAATTTTCTAGTGTCAGGAAGTCAGATTTTCAATATCCTGTATTACTCCTTGCCTTTCTCCATACAGCATAATGCTTGCTAAGAGTAAGCAAATTCTTGGATGAGGTGAATAATCTTGAGCATTTTCCAGCTTGTTTTTTCACATCAGATCTCTGGTTTGAAGGTCTTACTGTTGAAGAAGAGGTGGGCTGAAAAATAAAAAGTGGAGGATGGACTTGGTTGTTGTTAGCAAAGTTAAACTGACATGCAATGACTCGTTCATGCCACAGAGTGAAATTAATGTCTAAATTGGAATTTAAACTTACATCTCCCTAATTCAAGTTCAGTACTAACCATCACATTGCCTATTGAGAAATAGATGGTCAGAAAGGCAGGAAAGAAATGGAAAGAAAAATGGAGGTGTCATACAGATTAAATTGCCACCAAACTAATTTTAATTGTTATTTCCTGTCCCAGGGCCACTGTTGGCACACAAGTTAATACCCCCGCTTTTTTAATATTCAAAATTTATTAAATATCACTGATTATGTGCCATCAAGTCAGTGTCAACTTTCAGCAACCATATAGATAGTTTTTCTTCATGACAATCTGTCCCCAATCTAGTCTTTCAGGTCTTCTAATGATGGACCCATTGCCAGTGTAATTGAGTCCATCCACTTTGCTGTTGGTCGTCCTCTTCTCTTTCTTTCTACTTTTCCCAGCATTAGAGCCTTCTCTGGATAGTTAGGTCTTTGTACAATGTGTCCTAAGTAGGATAATTTGAGCCTGGTCATTGTGCTTCAAGTGAGAACTCTGGATTGATTTGTTCGATGATCCATTTGTTTTCATGGTACAGTATTCTCAGGAATTTTTTCCAACATCAAATTTCAGAAGTGTCAATACTCTTTCTATCCTGATTTTTCAAAGTCCAACTTTCGCTTCCATAGAGTATCATGGGGAATACCATTGCCTGCACTATTCTGATCTTCGTAAGTATAGACACATCATAGTATCTGAATAATTTTTCTAAGTGGCTACTTTTCCAAGTGCTAATCTGCGGTGTATTTCTTGACTGCTTGTTCCTTTACTATTGATAGTTGATCCTAAAAGGCAGAAGGTATCCACTACGTCAATACTGTATCTTCATTGTCAATTCTAAGGCTGGTTGTGGTACCTGTTGTAATTAGTTTGGTCTTCCTTATATTTAACCTTAGTTCCATTTTTCACTGTGCTCTTGATTTTTATTACTAGCGTTTGCAAATCCTTTGCATTTTTGGTTATTAGAATAACGTCATCAGCATAGTGCAGGTTATTGATGTTTCTTCCTCCAGTTTTAAAACCATACTCATCTTCT